GAAATCTCATATCTAATAGGGATCGACGTTTGACAAAAAAAATACATAAATAATTAATTCCGGACGAAGTCTCCTATCCGATAGGTACTTGTCGTCACATAAAAAAATTTTATTGTTTAATCGGGATATGCTCCGACACAACGGTTGTGTCAAGGCTTAAAATGGATCCGATGTTTGAACCGACGTGTCGCCCGATGAAGGAGACCGACGATCACTTCAATATGATGCCATGCTCAAAACTAGTTTTTTTATTTTTTTATTATTATCTTTTATTATTATTATTATTTTGCTTTAAAAATCAGAGTTTCAAATAAAAAAAAATTGACATAAGTGAAACATTTTAGGAGATAAATTTGAGACTAAACTAGACATGATATCTTTCTTCGAAAAGGACACTTTTAGGTGAATAAATATTTTTCCAAAAGTATAATCAACTCCTTACTATAGAATTTCTGGACCATTGTAATTTATAGGTTCCTAGTTCCTTAATGCTAGGTGGCGACTCCGAACATATAATCAAACTTTGTAAATAGAGATACTCTTTTTGGGAGTCCCGTCCGACGTCGGGTAACGACATAAATTATATTAATTTTTTTAAAAAAAGTAAATAAAAATATTCTAAAAAATTATTAAAAAATTCATATATAGATTTCTCTCTTCGTTTCTCTCTCCTCTCCGCAATTAGTAACCAGATTACAATACAAATAAAGTTGCAAAAATAAAAAATATTAAAAAAATGAGGGATCAAAAAACAACATAGCAAAATTTTATGTATAAAATGTCTAGAAAAAACCTCAAAATTAGTAGTTGAGGGTAAATAGTAATGTAGGCGGAATAAATGCATAAAAAAACTTAAAATAACAAAAATATTGTGAGTGTGTGAATAGTCTAAAAATAATAAAAACCCCACCTCTTTCTTTTAAGGTTCTTTGTAATTTTGTTTTTCTAAAATATATTAAGAACTCCTAAGATTGAAAAAATTTAATTACACCGTACAAATTACGGATTATTTTCTCTTACTTATCTACTAAATAAGTCAAAGAAAATAATCCTTAATTTGTATGGAATCGATCCAACCCAACTCTTTTCTTCTCCTTTTTCGGACTAAACTAGAATCGACCTAACCTAGTCGCACACGAGTTGAGCTTAGCCCAACCCAAAACACAAACAAAACTCTTTCTTTTCTTTTCGATCAAACTCAATTCTTTTTCTCTTTTTTCTTCTTCCTCATCCGATTGTTATCCTTCTCTCTCTTACTTTTTCTTTCTTCTTCTTCCTCTCTCTTTACCTTCCATGGACGAACCAATAATGGTTCGTCCCTCTTTCTCTTATTCTCCTTTTTTTTTTTTTTTGTCTTTCTTCTTCTTATTCCTTTTTCTCGGTCTCATCTCTTTCTTTTTCTCTTCTTTTGCCAATCCATGGAAGAAACGAACCGGAGATTTACGGCTCGTTTTTTCCTCATTTCTCTCTCAATCCTTCTTTCCCTCTCATCCTATTAATCTCCCTCTTCCAATTAGATCAAAATCCCAAATTGAAAATTTTTTCCAATTTGGAGGAAACCCTAAGTTTTTGATTTTTCAAATTTTCCTTTCAAATGGCCTTAATTGGCGTGATTTCTCTTGAGATTAAGTCAATTCAAACCTAAATGAGTCATTATTTTCAAAAACCCTTAATTTTTATTACTTGTTGGAGATATCAAAAACTCTAAGTTTCAATCTAGTCTAATTCGAGTTCAATTCATGGTTTAAACACCGAATTGAAACTCCAATTTAGTTCGATTAGCCTTCCTTTCTATTATTCAACCTCAATTTCGATCCACAACAAAAATCTTCAAATTCCAAAACCCTAACTCGTCAAGAACCTTAAATTCTCAAAAATTCCAATTTAATTTCCAAATTAAAACCCTCTATTCGATTAAACAAATACAAATATATGTGTGTGTGAGTGTGGAGGGGGAAATTCGAGTTGATGATGATGATGGAGAGGTGTTGCTTGCTTCAACAATTAGGTAAAAATTCCTCCCTCTTTCTTTTTTTATTTGATTTTAATTTTTAGAGCGGATTCCCTCCTTTTTTTGTTTCCTATTGCCCTTTTTTGTTTAGTTTTTTGATCAAACTAATCATCTTTTCTTATGTTTTCCACTTCTTGCTTCTTATTGTGATTATTTTGGTTCCCCACCGTTTAATGGTGTGGGATTTTATTACGGGATATGGTTGTTGGCGACTAGAGAAGGAGGAGAAGATTAGAAAAGAAGGTTAAGGAGGCAGAGAGTAAAAGTAGGAGTGATAGCATGTAATTAGAAAAGCAAAGAAAGGTGCAAAATTAAAGAAAAACACTTTTGTATGAATAGGACCGTTCACAATGTTTTGTGTAGGGGTGAACGAGTGCATGAACAGACTTCACCCTAACATCTTTTAGAGTCTTTTGTAATATTTAATTTTAGAATTTACATTTTATTTGGTAAGGAAAAGGAAAAAAAAATAATCGATATTTCATTTTTATTTATTTTCATCATTTAACTTGTCTTCTTTTTTTTTTTTTATCCCATTTTTATTTTATGTTATCGTTTTATTTTGTTTTATTTTGATTTTAGATCAAGGGTGCAATTGAATGAAATTGAAATGCAATTGAAAGCAATTAGGGACATAATTAAAATAATTCAAAATCGTAAAACTAAAATTGAAAGATACAGGGCTCTTTCATCCTCACCTGCATTGATCCAAATGACTACCAATATGTCTGTCAAATTTGCGAAAAAGAAAGAGACCCAAAGCTCTGGTTCTACCGTTGTGAAAAATGCGATTTCGATGCTCATCCAGAATGCGCTCTTGGGAAAAACCAATATATCAAGCTAGACAAATATGAGTTTCATCCTCACCCTCTCGCTTTGGTTGAAAGGACGGAGGATTATCCTGCATGCCATTCTTGTGGTAAGCCTTATGATGACTTGGCCCCTGGATGTACTCATCCTCACTGCAGTTTTATCACTCATAGGAAAATATTCGAATGCTTTGATGTATTGTTATTACGTAAGCTGTAAATTGGATTGGAGTTCTTATCGTTTTCTTTTTTTTTTGGTTACGGTTATTGGGTGCATCAACTATTACCGGAGGAAAAAAAAAAAAACAAGGTAGTGCTGGACATATTTAACATAATAAAGTTTCCTAATTAATATTACTAGTGAATATCAGTATTTAAAATAATAAAATTTACTCTCTTTTTTTTTTCTATATTTCCATTAAACTAGTCTCGAACCTCTGTGGTTGGATCTTAAAACTAAACTCAACTGAGACATAATTGAAATGCAATTGAAATGCAATTGAAGACATAATTGAAATAATTCAAAATCTTAAAACTAAAAGTGAAACAATTAAAAGTACCAGGAGCTATAATAACACGCCTAAATTAAAAACATTAAAACCTACAAGAACCTAAATTGACAAAAGACACGAATGACAGGACCAACCTGTACCCAATCCGAACGACCAGTCGTTCGAGTCTTCCCTTTCTCTCCACGGCACGCCTGCTCTGCACCTCACATCATCTGGCGCTGTTCATCTTCTTCAGCGAAGACAACAGGCCGGAGGGGAAAAACCAAACCAAGCCTGTAACAGCTGCACACACAAACCACAGGTTTTGGCTCTGTTCATACAGAGCCAAAACTAAGTCATCTGTTACTACTAGATTTGGCCAATTTCCATCTTCTGAGATCTTAGTTTCTAACCCCCTTACTTTAGCGCTAGCGTTTATAGTCTTCCCCCTACCTTATTAACCGTTTTTATAAGCTACTGAACTCAACTGAGTCTTGGTTCCAAACTAGTTGCAGTCAACCAATCATCTTAGTGAAGTAGTCTTACAAACCACTTCTACTCTCTGAGATTAATTATTATTGCATCATGCCTTTAGTAGTGCTCAAGAAATTCTGATTATAGCAGCTTCAATCATTTGAACACCTTGAAAACATTTTCTGAATGTTCACAACCCACACAGAACTTCAAGAATTCCATTATTGTTCTTTCAAAGAGCTCATTCTGTGAGCAGGGGTGAACTTGGACTTGGTTTGGTTTGATGAATGAAATCACTTATTTGTCCTTATTACTTGTTAAGTGTTTGAAATCCTTAGCTTCGAGATACCTTGCAAAGGTTTCGCTAAATAGTCTTTATTTTGCTGGTTGGACTCACATACATTGTCGGCTGAGGGCACATAATATGGTTGAGCTTCAAATCTCTCTACACAAACAAAATTTCAGCTTCAAATCTTCAATTATGGATCTTTCCTGGTCCATGTAATGATTTAAACTTTTTTGCTTTTTTGGTACAATAGGACAAGATGCAAGACTAGCTTCTCAAGAAACAAACACCGGCAGCGTACAGCATCACCATGTAATGCCTGCAGAACTCGCCAAGGAGGATCAGACCATTCAACAAATGCATTAGAACCACTGGCACCTAACTTGGCCATAATGTCAGCACAGCTATTCCCTCTCTGAGAACATGAGCATTTTTGCAAGATGAAGTTTTTTCTCTTAACCAGCTCAGAAATATCAGCAACTAGAGCATGGCATGGACGAAATAAAGGATTAGCCTCCCTAACCATATGCAAGGCTTCCTGTTCCAGCCAGTCAACTTTAAGAATGATATTTCTAAATCCCAACTCCCAAGCATGATGTAAACCTTGCTGCATGGCTTGAAGTTCAGCGACCATGTAATATTAATAAGAAAATATATGATTGAAAGAATTTTATATCATTATTGTAAGTAAAGAAGTTGCAGTGCTGCATATGGTCTTGCATTTCCCCTGATTTTCTTCTCTATCTCTAGCAGCTGCTACCTCCTGCCAGATTCTTCATCCTGGACGCAAAAATGAGTCATCACAGGTATGATCATGAACCCAATCAACTATTTTTTCTTTTGCAGGAGATTCTATTTTCATCATATGCTTAATTCAGTTAATATCCCATTGATAATTGCTTATAACTTAAAAGCTAATTTTAAGCATTATGGCTGGTGGTGGTTTTGTTACTAGTGATGTTAAAAATTATCCAGAAAAGGTCACTTGGGATGCGGTAATTGCTTGTATTTTGGAGCCATGGTGGCTAATTTTTCAGATATGGCATTGGTATCTCCGGTGGTGTCTCATCATGGCTCTCTTTTTGAAAAATGTTTCCCATCAGGTGATTGAAAGGAGGCATCATATGCATCCACCAACTAATACTGCAAGTTCCATGATACACGGTTTACCATTTTCATGTCTCCGTTATACTTGGCTGTATTGGCTACATCTCTTGTTGCTTCTCATGTCACTAGGAAGTGCAGTCGAAAAATATCAATGATCCTTGGTGGCTTCATCTTTCTCATTGGAGTTATTATCGAGCTGTGGCTCTTGATATCTTAGTCGTTATTGCTAGTCGCATGTTATTAGGTGTTGGTATTTAATTGTCTGCATGCGTCTAAGTTCATTTTCTTATAATCATGTAATACTTACAAATTAATCATTTGTTATCTCTGAACTTTGTGTTATTTGTTTTAATTGCAGTCTGTGCCATTTACCTCTCAGATATGGCTCCATCAAGATACTGGATGACTAGGATGGCGTGTAAGCTTAGGCAGTGTAGCCTTCCTGCTCTCTTCATCTTAAGTTCAGCTTTTTTTCTGCTCTCTTAACTGAGGGTCGTCATGAAGTTGTTGTATTTCTGATGTCAACCTTGCTACCATCAATTGTCTATAAGAGTAGATCATCATAAAATTGGTTGAATAAATTATAAATTAGCCTCTCTCGTTTAGAAAAACGAATTAATTAGTCTCATTTTTTTCAAAAACTAATCATTTAGTTCTTTATATAATTTTATCAATAACTTAGTTAGTTATTTCATCAGTTTCTTAAATTATTATTATTATTATTTTATTTTTTTTGAGGAAAGAGAAAGTGAGTGGGTAAATGAGAGAAATAAGGCATTAAAAAAAGAGCAATTTGAAGAAAAAAAATCACTAATCTAGTGAAAAACTAATGAAAAAAATAAAATCATTTACAGAATTAAAATATAAAAAGCTAAATGATTAGCTTTCAAAACGAGAGGGACTAATTTATAATTTACTCGAAATTGGGCTTGGGAGTATATATCATGTAATTGAAAAAAAAATCTCCAAAACCCTAATTGTAGCATGCACAAGACAGTGCTAAAAAAAAAAAAAAAATCATCACTTCAATTTCATCATGCATAAAAATAGAAAATTGTTAGATGAGTGGCCTGATAAACAAGAGGTTAGTTACCTTTTCTTTCCAACACCTCCCATGCCGAAGATTCAGAAAACTTCTATCATTGCAAAACATGGGCAGTCCTTTCCTTTTTTTTCTTTCCCTTCCTTTCGCTTCTCATATAAATCTTAAGATTCCGAAAGTATGCTGTGAAATCATAGTGCTTAAATTTTCTTAGATGAAAAATTCTCCTTATATATATATATATATATATATTACCTGAAAAATTAGATAACTGCTGAGAAAATAGATAACAAGAGAACTTAGATGGATGCTTATACCTGATAGATTAACAAAACTGAACCAAATCAAATTGCAGGAGAAGAGTGATGATTTGCTACTCTGCAATGCAATAAGAAGACAGAAAATGATCAAAACAGATTGCAATGCAATTCCTTTTAGATGACACTAGCAGAAAGATTTCAAAAGGCTGTTAGATGAACATTCACAACCAAAAAACAAAAGTGTCAAAATTATCTAAAATCTAAATAGGCCTGCCATGCAAGAAGCTAGCTGCTCGAAAAAAAAAGAAAAAAGGATTCAATCCTGTTTTTGGTATGCTCTATGACCTTTCGGTGGTCTTTCTGAAATTTTCTTTTCTTTACATTTCTATATTGATACTATTGCTTCTATTACTGTTTGTGCTTTGCACTGTCATTATTCATTAGCCAAATCATCTGCAAATTGTGGCCATTTTGAGGAATAGAAAAGGAAACACATGAGGAAACAATTGTGATTGTGGGAGCACCTACATGGAAGAGCACAGAAAAGGGAAACAGAAGATCACACAGCAGTAATTGAGGAGGCAGCACTGCCCTGCCCTAGCTATGAACCTGAACCAAATTGCAGGAAAAGAAAAATTGAGAGGAAAACATTGAAGAAAGAAAAAACTAACGAAATTCTGCAATGTATCATAAAAGAATTGAAGCAATAGAAGTTGATATAACGAGGAGGAAATGAGGACAGGTCAAAGCAGACAACGAGAAGTGGAAGTTCCGATATTTTAAGTCCATACAATAAAATATTATTCGAGGAAAAGCTGAAAATAGAGCATAACTTCCTATACTCCTTGAGCAGGACAGACATACTGCTCTATCATACAATTGACTGTTTCATATGTTTGAAATGTCCCGTTGACAATTTAGTCTGCATCATGAACGCTATGTATCTCAATGTCTACATATCATGAGAAATTAATCCCGTTTTCGGTAACTACTAATTATTAACGCTAATCTTTTAACCGTCTAACTACTAATTATGGTGCCTAACACAAAAAACATGCCTAACATGAAACATATAACACGCATTTATACCCAATTAAACAGCTTAACAGCCCTCATTATGCTTCGAAATAGCTAAACAATCTGTAAGGCCAATAATTTAGATGGAGCCCTTCACTCCAGAGCATATCAAAGTACTGAATTCTGTGACATCAGATCATCTTGATCAGATGACTCATGTACCTCACTGCCTCCAAACCTGATATTTTACAGGTTGTAGGTCTTTTATCCAGGTTTATGCATTGTGCAAGTGAGGAACACATGCAAGTTGCTAAACGTATTATGAGATAAATCAAAGGAACTATTGACTATGGTGTTAAGTATGTAAGCTATCAAAATTTTAAGTTAACAAGCTTTTCTGGTAGTGATTGGACAGGTTCAGTTGATGATATGAAGAGTACTACCGGTTTCTGCTTCAATTTTGGTTCAGGTGTGATAATTAAATTAGTTTTCCAAAAAGAAAAAAATCATTGCTCAAAGCACTGCAGAAGTTGAGTTTGCTGCTGCAACTACAGTGGCAAACCATGCAATATGGCTAAGAAAAATTTTACAGGATCTGAATCTAGTGCAGCAAGAACCAACTCAGATTTTTGTTGATAATCAAGCAGCCATATCGATCTCCTCAAATCCAGTGTTTCATGGGAAGACAAAGCATTTCAAGATTAAATTTTATTTTCTAAGGAAAATTCAGAAAGAAGGTGAGGTTTCCTTAGTATATTGCAGGACTTAGGAACAAGCTTTTGATATTTTTACAAAAGATTTGCCTAAAGCCAAGTTTGAGATGCTGAGAGATAAATTGGGAGCTTGCAGCATCAAAAGCAAGGAGGAGTGTTCGAGATATGCCTCTGAAGCTACAAGGAATCTGGTATGTTACAGCTGCACTGATTAAGTCTTGTTGTAATGCCAAGTAAGCTTTGACATGTCAGCAAGCATGGTGCTGATTTTAAGACACAAACTGTTGAAGACTTGTTCTTCCACTAGGACCTATTTTCTAGGATTAGTGGTAGCATGTTGCTGCATGTTTTTGTGCATTTTCTGTTCAGTTTAGTGGTAGTTTTGTTTATGGATCATGATCAATCATATTTTTAGAAATTTGACTAAGTTTTTGCTGTATTTAAATTATTTTAATCAATGAAATATTAGGGAACTTTCTACAAATATCTACAATGTTTGTGCTGTCAAGAAAGCTTATCAAGACAGAAGCAAGTGGTTGGTGCTTTTCCCACAATGATTAAAAAAAAAGTTGTTCTTAACAACTTCATTATTTGATAATGAATTATAATTCAATTGGCATTAATGTGATCTCTTGATTATTTGCTTGTACAAAACAGGCTAACTGACAATTGAACACATGAGCATTAGGCACACAGGAGCTGATATTGAAGTTCCAATATATTAATTATTCAACAACCAGCCTGTGGCTGATCTCCCTCGTTACTATTTGTCACCTGTTGCTACCCGACGTCGAACGGGACTCCTCGAAAAATATCTAAAATTAGATTGAATATTTACAAGTTTATTTACAGAGTTTGGAGTCGCCACCTAGTATTGAAGGAACTAGGGATCTAAAACGGACAATCGGTTCGGAGATTCTATGATAAGGAGTTGGTTACGCTTTTGGGAAGATATCGATCATCCAAAAGCGCCCTTTTCGAAAAAAGGTACCACGTTTGGTTTAGCTCTAAATTTATCTCCTAAAACATTTTATTTACTTCAAATTATTTCCCGACTCTTAATCTTTCATTTTTTTTATAGATAAATTGAATTTTTTAGTTTTGAGCGTGGCATCGTATTGAAACGATCGTCGGTCCCCTTCGTCGGGTGACACGTTGATTCAAACATCGGATCCACTTTAAACCTTAACACAACCGGTGTGTCGGAGGATATTTTGATTTAAAAAATAATTTTTTTTTGGTGACGTCGGTCCTAATCGGATAGGAGACTTCGTTGAGAATTTTAGATTCTTGGTGACGTCGGTCCCTATTAGATAGGAGACTTCGTCGAGAAAAAAAATATATTTTATTTTTTTTATTTTTAAAGAAAACTTTAAAATTTTAATTAACTAAAATCAAATGAAACAAGTTTCAAAAAAATTAAATATATCGAAATCATCGTCCGTCCCTAATAAATAGGAGACTCGTTGATACAATATTTTAATCATAAAAAAAATTTCATGTTAAAATAAATTTCACAACTATGTATCTTCAAATTTTCTAACATACATATGTAAAATAATAAAAACAAAGCTACAAAACATATAAAATAAATCAAACAATACAAAATTCACCTATATTGTAAAATTACCAAAATGCCCTTGGAATGCCAAGAGTCACCGCCAAGTGACCGGTCGCCTTCGGTGATCGTTCGGGCGCGTGGACCACCCAGCCTTGTAGATCAGATCGTTGCGAGTCCAATGGTGGTGTTATCGATCGAAGAAGACGCCGGAGGAGGGAGATCGAAGCCTCCAAAGGTTCGGTCGGATCTCTCTTCTTCACCGACGATGAATCCGACCTCTTCTCGGGATTCCAAGCACACCGATCGACTCTTCGAGGTTGAGAGAAGAAGTTATGTGGTGGTTAGAACCTCTAATTTGGGCTAGATCGGTCAATTTTTCCGGGTTTGCCAAAACGGGTAGAAAACGGGTTGACCTCGATTAAACCATTTTTCGGTGTCGTTGGATCGAGATGTTTAAATGGAATTACTCGGAGGAGATGGGAGATCATGTCCGTGGTGATGGATCTTGTGTTGGTGACCGGAGTTGAGAGAAACGATCGGGTATCTTTTTCGGGTCGGGTCGTGATGGTTTAATCTTCAATTTCTCTCTCCTCTCGTGGGTTTTCTCTCTCTAATAGGTATGGATTGGTCGATCTAGTGATTGTCTACACGTGGGTGTGTTGATTGGGGTCAAACTATGATTAAAAAACGATCAATTGAGGCTCAAAGTTTTCGGACGGGTTAACGGGTAATCGGGTCCGGTTTGATGGGTTAGGACGTGTTTGCCTTCCTCTTTTTAGGTTTTCGTATTTTTTTGTTTTTTTTTTGCTGCGTTTTTTCTTCTTTTTTTCCCCCTTTCTCCTCCTTTCGCAAATTGAAATCCGAAAGCTTTTTATAGGCCGAAAACATCCTAAAATTTCTCCCAAAATCAAATCAAATTTTAATTATCGAATCTTAAATTTGAGATTTTTCTAGCTAAAAATAAGGAGATTCTAATTAAACAAGATCGGTGGAAGATTTCAACGTATTTTTTGGAGATTTTATATTTTTTCCTTTTTTTGTTTTTTTTAATTATTCTTTTTTTCTTTTTTTGATTTTTTTCCTTTAAAGGAAAATTTGGGTTATGACAGTTGCTCTACTTTACAATGCTTACGATACAAATCTTAGTCGAAGTGTGAACTTCGAATAGATTTGTCTAGTGAGCTTGTAAAGATATTCTTTTCTTTTTTTTTTTTTTTGGAAAAATAAATGTGTAGTTCATGAAAAATTAAGTACAAAGTACATGAAAAATACAAGATGCGGTACATGGTCTTATTGTAAAAGGCGACCTACCTTAGAAATTTAAACGTGCAAATGCATGGCCTTATTTAAAAGGGCGACCTATCACGAAAATTAAACGTGCGGTGCGTGGCCTTGTTGTAAAGGGCGACCTACCCTAAAAATTAGATATGCAATGCGTGGCCTTGTTGTAAAGGGCGACCTACTACGAAAAATTAAACGTGCGCGCGTGGC